AGGTGGGACGTGATAGGATCATGGGGGCAGATTTCCTTTTTGGTGCTATTCTTATGATAGTGAGTGATTTGTCATGCCATCTGGTTGTTTGAAAGTGTGTAGTACCTTCCACCTCTCTTTCTCCTCCTCTGGCCATGTGAAGATACGCATTTTTCCCCTTACCTTCCACCAGGATTGTAAGTTACCTGAGTCCTCCGCAGCCATGCTTCCTGGACAGCCTGCAGAACCATGAGCCAATTAAACATATTTTCTTTATAAATTGCCCAGACTCAGGCATTTCACTTTTAGTATTTTTATTTTTTTCTTTTTCAACTTTTAAGTTGTGAGGTGCATGTACAGGATGTGCAGGTTTGTTACATAGCAAACATGTGTCATGGTGGTTTGCTGCACAGATCAACCCATCACCTAGGAATTAAGCCCAGCATGCATTAGCTGTTCTTCCTGATGCTCCCCCAAGCCCCTGACAGTCCCCAGTGTGTATTGGTCCTGCCCCCATGTGTCCATGTGTTCTCGTTGTTCAGCTCCCACTTACAAGGGAGAACATGCCGTGTTTGGTTTATAGCAGTACAGGAATGAACTAATACAAACCCCTTCAGTGACTATCTGTTTCACTCACCTTAAAAGCCAAATTCCTTACAATTCAGTACAACACTGTGTAGTGTCTGGCTCCTGGTTCTTGCACAGCCATGTGTTGTCGAAGGAGCCAGTGTTCCCCTGTTTGTCCTGATCTAACCACACTGGCCCCTACCCTGTGTCTTTCTTTCTTTCTCTATTTTTTTTTTTTTGTGTGTGACTGAGGCTTGCTGCATTGCCCAAGCTGGTGGAATGCAGTGGTGCAATCTCAGCTCACTGCAACCTTCGCCTCCCCATTCAAGTGAGTCTCTTGCTTCAGCCTCTCAAGTAGCTAGGATTACAGGCATGCACCACCACACCTGGCTAATTTTTGTATTTTTTATAGAGACAGGGTTTCACCATTTTGACCAGGCTGGTCTTTAACTTCTGGCATCAAGTAATCTGCCTGCCTCAGCCTCCCAAAATGCTGGATTATAGGGGTGAGCCACTGTGCTTGGCCACTACACTCTGTCTTCAACATGCTATGTGTGCTTCTGCCTCAGGGCCTTTGCACTGGTTCTTCCTTCTGCCCAGAATGCTCTTTCCCTAGCGGTTTTCCTCATCTCCAACAGGTTTTTGTTCATATCTCACCCTCTCAGGGAAGCCATGTGTTACTTCAGTATTTTTTTTTTTTGAGATGGAGTTTTTTTCTTGTTGCCCAGACTGGAGTGCAATGGCACGATCTTGGCTCACTGCAACCTCTGCCTTCCAGGTTCAAGCAATTCTTCTGTCTCAGCCACCTGAGTAGCTGGAATTACAGGTGCCCGCCACTATGCCTGGCTAATTTTTGGTATTTTTGGTAGACATGGAGTTTTACCATGTTGGCCAGGCTGGTCTCGAAGTCCTGACCTCAGATGATCCACCCACCTCGGCCTCCCAAAGTGTTGGGATTACAGACGTGAGCCACTGCACCCGGCCAGTATTTTTAAAATCGTAAAGTACCCCCTTTTATCACTTCCTCTCTCTCTTTCCTGATTGATATTTTTTCATAGCACTTGTACCATATTACTTTTCAAAGTTGCTTTGTTTACTTTCTAGATGTTTCATAAAAATAGAGAGGGATTTTTGGCTGTTTTGTTCATTGCTATTGTCCAGCTGCCTAGAGTGGATGAATAAATTGGATATTTAGTTATAAAGGAGCTTCATTGGGTTTGTGAGATTTGGGGGCTGGCCATAAGTTCATGAAAAGTAGTTGCCACCAAGACACAGGCTTTCCTGCACTAACTATCATCTGTGACTCTAGCATTTTCAAGGAAAAGTAACCTCATCTTTATGAAGCTAGAATTAATTAATTAATTACTAGTAGGTAAATATTTTTAAAGCACTTAGAACAGTGCCTGGGACATGATATGAGCTCTATAAGTGTTTAGTTTAAAGGCAACAAATACTTTATTAAGCATTTTGTGATCAAAAAAAAAAAATAGTGACAGAATGTGAGCAAAGACAAATAAACCTCAAGAGGTTCAGAGTAGCCCTAATTCTTATGGAGAGTGGCTTTAATCATAATAGAGCTGGAGTCGAGTCTGATGATTTAATAGAAAAATAGTAATAGTCACATGCCCTCTCTACTCTGGAAAAAACAAACTACCCTGTGTACTCGATGGGATTATAGATACAAAGAGATTTATGGAACAAACTCTAAAGAATTGGTTTTTAACTTAAGACCATTAAAAAAATGGTTATGAAAAGAAAACTTCAGAGGTATGGACTGGGGCTATAGCAGAGGAAAAAGGCTTGCGCACCCTCCACTCATTCATTAGATGAACAATTATGCCCCAAACGCTATGTTAGGGGTTAGGAGCTACTTTCTAGGATCTCATAACCTAGTGGGAGAGAGACAAGTTAACCAACAATGACCAATTCGGCCAGTACTACTGTAGAGGTGAGCCTGGAGTGCGCTGTGAGGATGGGATTGCTTCCTCGTCCTCTTTGTGATCTGAAAATAAACAAATCATTTGCTTTCAATTAAAGGCAGCAGCTAGAACTCACCTGTTTTTATCTCCACTCCCTGAGGAAGTCCCATCAAAATGAAAGTAATGAAATGGAAAAAGGAATGAACCAGTGGTTTTTAACCCTGGCTGAACATTTGAAATAACAGCAGAGATTTTTAAAAATCCTAATGCCCAGCCTGTAGCCCAGATGAATTAAATCAGAACCTCTGCAGATAGGACTTAGGCATCAAGATTTTAGACTATAATTTTTTTTTTCAAAGAAAATAAGAGACAACAGAAATCAATAGCATTGAGAACTTGAAAAAGTCTGGGCCTGAAATGGACTTAGCAGAACTGAGAATCCTAAAAACCGAACAGTTTCTAGGGGAAGGGAGGCTTCCCTTCCCTTCCTGGTGCTTAGAAGCACCTGGATCTTTCCTGTGGTAGAACTTTGGGAAGGTTCAGAAATTAGAGACTGGGTATGGGGAAGAGTGAAGAACTGGAAAATTGGTTGAAAGTCTGTTTTTGGAACAGATGACCCAGATTTTATCTCAAGCCTGCCCCCATCCCTACCCTTGGTTTGCTCTCTGGAGATATGGCATGAGAAAGGGGCTCAGGTACAGTTGAGGGGAAATGTGAGGCTGGCCTTGCACAAGAGTCACTCTCCTGAACACCTCAGTGCCCTTCTGAAAACACTGGCCGCCTGATTTGTGCTGCCTGGCAGGAACTGGAGGATGCAGCTCTGGGCAAACTGGTCTAAGAGGGAAATCCAGTCAGATGCTGACGTGAGACAGTCCAAGCTCCTTTGTAATACACCCTAGAGGCCTCATTTCGAATAAGAAAGGACACCAAAGATAACCAGACATTTGAGGAAAGTATCTAAAGTGAAAGACAAAGACGAAAACAGACAAGTGAAAGTAAATAAAGGGAACTCACACACACACACACAAAGAAACAAGATGCTACTGAGCAGGAAAAAAATAAAATATGTGCGTAGATAGATAGATGGTTATAGATAGATGATGGATGGATGGATAGACGAGAGAGAGAGAGAGAGAGAGAGAGATAGCTGTCAGGACTGTACTGCAGGAAATGATGCAGTGCTCTGGCTGATGGAGCATCTGTACTCTGCAGCCAAAGTGTGAGTTTGTGTTCTGGCTTCATCACTTCTTAGCTGTGTGATGCTGGGCGAGTTACTTATCCCTCTAACCACCTAAGAAATAGATGCTCTAACCACCTAAGAATAGAATCTTCCTATTCTTGTGGAACTATATCATATTTTTATGGGTATACAAATAAATGATACGGTTTTAATATTTCAGCCATTAAAAAACAAGAAAAAATAGGCATTTTTAGCCATCTGCCTTAGTTTCCTCATCTGGATGATGATGTTGCTGTTCAGAGAACAAAAAGGAGCTGTTGGAAATTATGAATATGATGGCAGAATATAAAGTTTTAGGTAAAAGTTGAGGAAATTCTGAAAATAATCAAAAAGACAAAGAAATGGAACATAGAAACAATAAGAAAAAGAGATATTAAACCTGAGAGGTATTAAACCAAAATCAGAGTTGCAGGAAGGGACATACACAGGGAGAGAGAGAGACAGACAGACAGATGGACAGACAGAGAGACAAGAGGAAATCATGAGGGTAATGACCAACCTTTCCCAGTAGTGAAGGACACAAGTTTATACTGAAAGAGCCTCTTTAGTGCCTGCAGGATTATTGGGAAAAAGACCCAGTCTAGGACACATTACTGTGACATTTTTAAACACTGATGATGAAATAAAGATTCCAAAATATTTCAAAGAGCAGAAAGTAGATCACAAAGAAAGAATTGGCACTTGAGTGGCAGAGGGGATAACCAAGCTCTAAGCAATGTGGACTGATTCTGGAAAGGCCACCATATTTCCAGGACATAAAACTTGTTTGATTTAGACATATTCATTACTGTAAAAATTAGCTCTTATGCATTTGTCAAAGTCGGGTCTCAAGTCTTTGCTCAGTGAGTCTCAAAATCCCATATCTCCTTTGCCTGGGAGCACCTATTTCTTTTATTTTTCAATTAAGATGGAAAATTATTAAATGTTCTTTCCTTTCCTCTTCCTCCACTTCCGTCTTCCTTTTCCTTGCCCCTCTTGTTTCTTCTCCCTTTCCCTCACTTTACCTTCTGAGCCTTCATACTTTTGCTGTGTCTATTTCTGTCTCTCTTTCTCCCTTTCTCTTTCTATCCACAGAAGTCTTATGTTTGTCTAATAATTGGCAGAAGAGATCTTTTTTTTTTGCTTTTTATGTGATGAATAGTTGGCGTAACATCAAAGACAAGCCCTGTGGTTTTCTGACTGCCCCAGAAGGGTGGTGCAGCTGGCAGGCATCCCAGCTGCCTAGTGATAGGCATGTGAAGAGATACCAAGCTCACAGGTCACTCTGTATGTGTTCATGTACGTGTGTTTTTCAGGCCAACAGCAGGCTGAAGCAGATTGAGAAGGAATACACTCAGAAGCTTGCCAAATCTTCACAGGTAAGCAACATGAAAAGAAACAAAACAAGGTAAAACCCAAAACAAAAATGAAACCTCCACATAAAAGCCTTTGTACTTTCTTTTTTTTTTTTTTTTTTTTGCTGGCAACAAAGACTATTATTCTTTTTTTTAATATATATTTTGTTGCGTTTTAGGTTTTGGGGTACATGTGAAGAACATGCAGGATTGTTGCATAGGTACATACATGGCAATGTGGTTTGCTGTCTTCCTCCCCATCACCTATATCTGGCATTTCTCCCCATGTTATCCCTACCCAACAAAAGCCTTTGTACTTTCAAGTTAAACTTCATTCTTTTCAGTTTTTTTGTGGAACTGCATCATATTTTTCTGGGTATACAAATAAACAGAATATGGTTTTAATATTTCAGTCATTAAAATCAAGAAAAATTAGGCATATTTAACCATTTGAAACAGCACACACGTGCACACACACACACACACACACACACACCCAGATGTTGTAAAACCAGCCTGTACACTTGAACAAGCCCAGGCTGAAACATACTTCACAAGGACAGGAGATACATACCTACATTTGTGATGTAAGCAGTTTGGTACTAGCTGTGCTTTTTTTGTAATATTCCATTTTGCTGTACCTAAAGGCTGCCTCAAACAAAATTCAAAATGACAAATAATTCTAGGCTATGTCTGCAGCTCAACTGTTGACTCTTTTGGGAAAAGAGAATTCTAAGTCCCTATGTCCACAACTTGCTATTTGTACTTACTATTGTAGTTTTAATATAAGAAAGGCCAATAATTGAATGCCTGTCCCTACTTGAAATATGATGTTCAGAGTACTTTTTCAGCATAAGTTTTTACAGTGCTATCCAGTAGTATCATTTAAGGAACTCCAAGTATTCCTTAGTCGTACAATTGATTCTAGAACAAATAAGTACTACTTATTTTTACTTTGCAGGTGGATAAATCCATTTGGTTTTGTAAGCATCATATCTAATGATTGGTGAAATCAGCTTATCTTCATATATATATACACAGTGGTATTTGGTGGTAAACTGGAATTTGTGTACCTTACTACCACATAATGCCACATAATAGTAGTAACAACAAAACAATAATATCTAATTTTTGTGGGGCACTAATCATGTTGACTCATTCAGTCTTTCACAATAATTCTGGGATTAGGAACTATTATTGGTGCCATTTTTCCATTTGAGAAAACTGAGATTCAGAAAGATAAGATCACATAAGTTGGCAAGTGACTAAGCCAGCACCCAGTCTGGATCTGACTTCAAAGTGAAAGTTCTTAATCTTAACACTACCAGCCTGGCCCACATTTTTAATCTCTTCCATTTTTAATATTGGCAGAACTTTGGTGATAATTATAAAATACCTTTTTTCTTTTTTTGAGATGGAGTTTCGCTCTCAGCCTGGTACAGTGGTGCAGTGGTGCAGTCTGGACGCACTACAACCTCCACCTCCAGGTTGGTTTCAAGTGATTCTTCTGTCTCAGCTTCTTAAGTAGCTGGGATTACAGGCACCTGCTACCATGCCTGGCTAATTTTTTGTATTTTTAGTAAAGACAGGGTTTCACCATGTTGGTCAGACTGGTCTTGAACTTCTGACCTCAGATGATCCACCCACCTCAGCCTCCCAAAGTGCTGGGATTACAGGCATGAGCCACCACGCCCAGCCTAAAATTTCTATTCTACTAATTCACATCCCATTAGAAAAACAAAAAGTCTTTGTCCAAATGAAGAGTCATATGTGTTTATGTAAGAAATGATGATTATGTCTTGATTGCCATTATTCTAGCCCTTCCTTGAGAAAGGAACATGGAGAAATATCCTTTTAATCCACTGAAAAAGATTCTTACAATAAGAAATATATATATATATTTAGGCCAAAAGTTAAAGTTTAAATTAAAACATTAAAAATCCCCAGTTGGTGTATCGTAATATTCTGCTTATTTTGCTTTATGTTAAATGGGGGAAGCAGACCGAGAGTGAGATATAAGATAGCTAATAAAAATGCCTAAATAATGAGAGTGTAAACAGGGGTATTTATCTAAAGGAATGTATGAAGAAGCCTGATTAGTTGATATTAAAGCAAATTAAACATAAGTGAAAGCAGAAGAAAGCCTGAGCTCTGGAGTCCAACACCCCTGGATTTGAATACCAGCCCTACCACTTCCATGACCTTGAGCAAGTTACCTGCCCTCTTTGGAATTCAGTTTCCTCATTCGTCAAGTGGAGGAACAGTACTAACCTCATAGGATGGTTTTAACTATTAAGTAAAACAATGCCAAAAATGTGTTCAGCATAGTGCCTAGTACACACTAAAGCACCTAATGACTGTGAGTTATTATAGTCTCAGCACTAAAATTGCCATAGAGAAAGAGGAAGGGAAGGAGAGAAGAATGAAAAAAGGTTTGGAAAGTGGGACAGATTATTGTTTCAGACACCATGTTTTTGGGTGTTCACAAGTTGATAAAATCTCCCTGAAAAATTTGGAGAGGCATAGGGTTGCTGTTTTCCCAAGAAAAGACTTGAAGGAGGAGAAGGAAGAACCAACTACTAACAACTGTCATTTCATTAATCAAGGGACAGTGCAACACCAAAAAACCTTAGAAAGGGTGTAATGGAATGAAAGATAGTCCATCCTTCTTATAAAAGTTAGGATGAGAACCTTACATTGATAATGTTTTGTTTGCCCCCCCCCTAAATATTTATATATGTGAACTGGCATTAGAGAAACCTTATTCTACAATGCCAGTCAGTTCACAGAAGCATGTCAGATTATTTTTAAATGAGCATTATGAAACAGGACTGTGGATTGATCTCTACACATTTAAGTGATAGTTTGTTGGAATCTCTAACTTATATCTCATTAAGCTGATGAAGAACACTAAAAGCCAAATTGCTTAACTCTGTCGGGTTTTTAAAAAGCCCTCTCTGAAAAACAGAAAATGAATGCATTAGTAATCAATGTGTTGGTACCCCCAGAGAGCATCAGATTAAATTTGGAAAATATTTTAAAGATTTTCCTCCTTTAGAGGAAGGTACTTAATTTTCATGATTTTATCAAGCCTTTAGGGCCTAATAGACCATGTACGCTGAACCCTGGGGACGCCTGAGAACTGTGCCCCCTTCTGAGATCTGCAGCGCTCACCCTCACCACCACCGCAGTGTTTGCATCATCTCTGGGCACACCCCCAAATATCATTTCCATCAGAATCACATTTTTTTAATCTTAACAAAAGAATGGAGACGATGCAAACACCTCAGTGGTGAATACTGAAGTTTACTCCACTTAAAACATTGAAATAGTAAGTTATTATATATTAACCTTGTCTCTTCGATATTAATATGGTTTTCCCCACTCACCCTAGTCATCTAGTGGCCATTTTTCAAGGAAAGATACTGCCATTTTGTCAGAATGTCCATAGTTAGAAACATGGGCAGGACTGATGTTGGGATTCCGGTCGAGCTGCCTGCTGCCAAGGGACTGGTGTCTCCTATCACTATCCTACACTTACCACCCAACACCTGATGCATATTAGTACCTGGGAATATTCCACGTGACCCTGTGCCCATCTTTATGCCAGCCTCCAGGGGGCCAACCCAGAATGCACAGGGCATCCACTTATTTTATGAGGCACTTCCTAAGCCTTCCTAAGTTTGTCTTCTCTATTGTATTACATTTTAAAGAAGAGTTCTATAAAACTCTCAAACTGTACTATAATCTGAAAAACAATAGAATTAGTTGAAGATGAAATTCTAACCCTTATTTAGGATTCTGCATTTTTTTTTAAGACCACTAACATTTTCCCAAAGCGTTAATTGCTTAACAATTATTATTAACTATTATGACTTTCATGGGTTTGTTGCTTACAGCATCAGCTCAAAATAGCTCTCCTTTTGTTTCCCAAAATATAATTTGTAATAGCCATATGAAAATGCTCTAATCCACTTCTTTGTTTGAAGCTAATGCAGTATAAACATTTTAGTTGAGTGGTAGCATTTTATTCTATGGTTTTTAATTATGATTCAATCAAAACTGGAGGGTTTTGATTATGATTATATATATTAGCTTTCATTTTTTCTTAGAAATTTTAACATTATTATTCTACAAGAAGAGTAGATTATCTGAATACAATTTTCCAGGTGCAGGTTTTTTTTGCTTACTATGATTATAGTTCTACTTAAACTGAGTGCCAGTTATTGTATACCCTGAGCTAAGAAGAAAGTAGTCCATTTTCTTATACTCTAGGTCTACAACCTGGAGAGTTTTGTTCCTTACCTGAAGCATGTTAAACTGATTATTATGATTATTTCTCAGTCTTAAAGCATTAAATCTTGTTTTTAAAATTATCCTTATTTCAGTTACCACTCTATAGCTGTATCATCTGTGAGTCTGTTCAACCAAATAATTTATCTATTTATCTAGCCAAGTTGTTTCACCTGAAGTGTTTTAATATTCTCCCCCTTATATCGCCTTCCTAGGTTTTAAAAATAGCTTTCCAAAAATAATCTCAGTATTTCCCCCAAAGGAATCTCTCCTTATTCCCCCAAAGAATATAATGTTTTATTTTCCACATAAAAGCAAGCATGTCCTTCTTAGAACATCCTGGACTTGTAGTTCCTTCCAAAACCTGCAGTTTTTTCTTTTTGAGATGGAGTTTCACTCTTGTTGCCCAGGCTGGAGTGAAATGGTGCAATCTTGGCTCACTACAGCCTCTACTTCCCGAGTTCAAGTGGTTCTCCAGCCTCAGCCTCCCGAGTAGCTGGGATTACAAGCGTGCATCACTACGCCCAGCTAATTTTTTGCATTTTTAGTAGAGATGGAGTTTCGCCATGTTGGCCAGGCTGATATTGAACTCCTGGCTTCAGGTGATCTGCCCACCTCAAAACCTGAATTTATTTTGTCCTAAATCTTCTGAAAATGAGAAATGTGCCTGTTCCATGCCCTTTGATCACTTGAAGTTTCCCCAAATATTTTTTATCTTTATTCTTTGGTCAGCTACAAGCTAGTCTCAATCTTAGTACTTTTTAAAGAAAAATTACTTTGTACTTTAAAAATACATCACATGACTGCAGTTGTGGATATATGAATCTATACATGTGTTAAAACTGCACAGAACTAAACACACGCACACACCCTCTCTCACTCTCTCTCTTGCCCTCCTTCTCTCTCTAGAATTAAACCCACTATACAAAGTTGTGGTTTACTCAGCTTAAAACATTGAAATAGTAAGTCGTTTTTTACTGTTTGGCCCGATGTTCTTGTAAAAGATCAATCTTCAATTTTATGTTAGGCCAAGGAAGTCTGGCTCTTTTTATCCCTGGCTCCTCTGGCTCTGTGACTGTGAATTCATTGTTCTGTGCATCAATTTTTTACATTTGCTATGAGAATATAACCTTTCCTGTTTCACGGAAGTGCTTTTTACTGTGAGAATTTACTCATTTACTATGAGAATTAATTGAATTGATGTCAGAATGGAAACAATATTTAATCACAATTCAGAAAATGGATGAAAACATCTTCAGTCTCAGTAAATGAAGGCCTCCACTCACAGCAGAAGTTTCAAGTTTGCATTTAATAATATTGACATACTGCTATTATCTATTTTGTCATTTCACAATTGGCTAAATATTTGATTACAGACAGATTCTAAATGTCAAGCTTTGGCACAGTGAATTTGCTCACTTCTCAAAGCATAAATACTCCATATTCTATTGTCAAGATGCCACTATTTATGTCAGTAGTAACCACTAGTATTTCTATAGCATTTGGCTTCAGTTTCTATTTATTGCCTTATAATTCTGTAATCTAGTTTCATCACCACAAAATAGGTGGAAAACCTGAGCTCAAGAAAGATGCCTTGTCCAGTATTTCTCACCAACTGCCCCGCCCCTGCTTAGAACCAAAAGAATTATATTTGAACATGGTCTAATGTTGTTTATTAGAAGAAACAACTATTTCCTGCTTTTAAAAAGTCATCACTATTGAATTTGCAAGGAAATGAATACATCCAAACCAAAGGAAGGACAATGCTCTCAGAAGGCCAATTAAATATAAAAGTTTCTCATCAGATGGTTAATTTGAGAAGCTGGAAGAACCCTGTCTGGGAGACAACAGATTCAAATGTAGGGAATACTACAGGAGGGAATGAAAATGGCACCACGTAAAGCAAAATAGATATCCATGAGTTAGGAAGAAAACAACCTACTTGGAAGTATAAACTTCTCTGCAATACCAAAAGCTTATCTTAAGGAAAGATAAAGTTGGCTGGTTAAAAGAACCAGTTAGTGCAGCGATTGGTCTGACTGCCTGTCTCCTTAGTTGGATGTCATTTTCAACAATGTAAGATATTTGGCCTCTTTCCATGCCTCTGCATCCTCATTTATAAAAGATAGGCAAGCCTAGCCCGGTGGCTCACACCTGTAATTCTAGCACTTTGGGAGGCCAAGGCAGGTGAATCACCTGAGGTCAGGAGTTCATGACCAGCCTAGCCAACATGATGAAACCCTGTCTGTACTAAAAATACAAAAAATTAGCTGTATGTGGTGGCAGGTACGTCTGTAATCCCAGCTACTGGAGAGGCTGAAGCAGGAGAATCACTTGAACCCAGGAGGTGGAGGTTGCAGTGAGCTGAGATTGCACCATTGCACTCCAGCCTAGGCAACAAGAGCAAAACTCCATCTCAAAAATAAATAAATAAAAACAAGAAATAAAAGATACACAATAATAATACTTGTCTCACAGTAGTAAATGACATAAGAACTTAAAGTGTTAAACGCAATACACAAACATTACTGTATTCCCAAAAATCATTGCTTTGAATTAGGTGACTGAAGAATAAACTCTGTTCATTTTTTTCTTTGGTTATTACACTTCAAAGCATTATGAAAAGCAGAATAGCTTTTCTCATTCTAATAAGTGTATTTCTCAGTAAAATAAAATCTGACATTTTTCATATTTTTGAGATCACAGATGTTCTTTTTTCTGATGAGTAAATATTGTGGAATGTTATAGTGGAAACATCTTCCAAGTATATTTGGTTCAGCAGTTGTTCACCATTCACAGTTTTATTAAAGTCTTTTATTGTGTGGAATTTCATGCATTATAGTGTGTGATATGTTAATTGAAAATATTTAGTTTGTGGAATAGAGTTTTGCCAAATCCATTCTTTTGTTGAGCATAAATACATATAAAATAGATGCCTCTCCCAGAAGAATTCGAAGTTATAGCATGCTGTTTTCATTTTAGATCATAGCAGAACTTCAGACAACCATTTCCTCTCTGAAAGAGGAGAACAGCCGGCAGCAGCTTGCTGCAGAAAGGCGGCTCCAGGATGTTATACAAAAGTTTGAAGATGAGAAGAAGCAGCTGATTAGAGATAATGACCAAGCAATCAAGGTAATCTGAAGACTTCAGTAACCAGTGGTACCAGCTGCTTTAATGTAATTAAAAGGAGGGCTGAAATCCCAGCAGTGGGCAGATGAATGAGGGTATCTGGCTTGTTCACACAGCCTGCAGTAATTCCATTCACTGGACTCTACCTTTGATGTATCCAGTGACTCAGGCTGACTTCCCTCTAAGAGATCGCATGCCAGCATAAAAAGTCATTTTTGGCAAGCCCCATCCATTCACATTGAACAAATATTTTTAAAATACCCTCTCCTTTCTCTGGAGAACCACTTTGGAATTGTCTCTTGAAATTAGAATGACTGTTTGAGCCCAGTACTGCTGGCTATTAAAGTCAGAAGTCAGCTTCCAATTTACATTCTGTTCTTTGCCCACATCCTTTCATTATGTATTCACATAATGAGAAATAACCTGTTTGAGGCTTGGAATACCAACCATTTGATGTGCTTTGACACAGTACAGGATAGATATGTTGCTGCTGAGAACCTAGGTTGTTTCCAAATGACTTCAGAGAATCACACCTTTAATAGCAACAGAAGATTCCCTGGACCCCGATTCTTTTGGTGATAGGCATTTAGATCTCAAAGTAGTTTTTTCTTGGCTTCATAGCAGTGAATATTATTGTAAGGGTCTGCATCATGCTGGGTTTAATCTGTGAGGATAAGCATCTGGAAACCTTTATAAATGAGGCTTAAGAGAGAACAAAACATTTTTAAAGAATTCCCAGCAAAAGATTATTTTTCAGCATCTTTAGTTTGCCATAACGATACTTAAAGCGTGTAGAGTAATCATACAAAGCAAAGAACAATAAAAGAAACATTTGGGTTTTAATAGCTGCCCTTTCCTGCCTTACCTCTGCATCTTCTTTTTCTATATCCTATTGCAGACAATCTGAGTAATGTTGGGAAGAGTTTGTGTTAATGTCAGTTGCTTTTTCTATATTCCCTTTAAGCTGAGACAACACTAGATAGAATAAAAAGCCTTAAGATATGGACAAAACCTTCAAGGCCGTTACATCCAGTCTCCTCACTTTACTGGTGAGGACCTATTTTTTTTGTTAATGACATTTTCCCTGCATATTTCTGCCCATGAGCTTATTTCCCCTGCCTATGTTATGAGACCAGAAAAAAGATTTTTTTTTCATATTCTAGTGGTTTAAAAACATCTTTCAAGTTCTTTATCATTTACAAATGCACAGGAAGTGTCCCATTGATCTGTATAACTGTTTTGCTTCACAGAAACTGTGTTACATATTTAAAAAAATTGTTTTAGTTCTATAAAATTTCCATATTAAGTGGATTTCTTTTTCACTTTATGTCCAAATACCAAGTGGTAGGTAATATTCAAATTTTAAATGAACAATCAAATCTCAGTTTAAGCAAAAATGGAAAATATAAATTTACTGCTAACAACATAGTTCTAGTATTGTTTCTTGATTTTAAAAAATCTTGAAAGAATTATAATTAGTATAACTGTCCATTTTAAACTAATTATTACAGTTTTAATTATTTAATTTTAAAATTATTTAATAATTTAGTTAATTCTCACAGTTTTATAATATACACAAAAACATATGTATCATATGTTACCTGAAAATAAAAAATTAAAATTATAGTATAGGTAAGATATAGCTAAGTTTTGAGTCACTCACTTAGATTATACATAACGTAAATGACACTTCTTTTTTGCTAACCTACATTAAAGTTGCTAAGGTAATTGATTCATTAACATTCATTGCCTTGGCTGTTTTTTGTAAGAGTATATTACAAAAACTAATGCAAATAATTGCTAATATTTACTCAACATGTACTTTGTACCAGGCTCTGCAAAACATTTTCATTCATCTCTTGTTCCATTATCTCATTTAAATCTTATGGTAATCTTCATGAGGAAGGTATTTCTATCATCCCCATCTTACAAACGGGGAAACTGAAAGCATGAGGTTAAATAACAAGCCCAGGATCATCCTGATGGACAATTGGCAGAGGCAGTTTCAAGCCACAGTCTCTCTTTCTGGAGAGCCTCAACTATTCTGTCCATGAAACTATTCTGTCCTCATTCTGTCCATGAAAATGAGTCAAATGACCAAGTGTCAAAATGAACCTGGATGTTCCCATTCTATTCTTCTCTCTGCATGAATGATGTGACATTTTCACAACAGTTGTTTGATTTGGACATTCTGATTAAATTTAAGTGTTTTGCACATGTAGATATAGGTACATGAATAGATATTGATACTAAGAGAGAGGCACAGCCGCCAGGAAGCTTGATTTTGTGGGACCAAATACATTTGTCTGCAGATATAGTCAATAGTCCTGTAAAAGTAACTATGAAACACACTTCACTCCACTTCTGGGTTGATGATGAACTGAGCTCTTTCAAGTTGGTGATCAAGAATGGAGACAGAGAGTAAACCTAGTACTCGTTCCATCAGAGCTTATAATAATGTTTCTGCAAATAAATCATTAAAGTAATTCTAGAGAAAAGGTGCAGTATACTAAAATCCACTTAAAGGGCCCACCACTCAGGTGCAATATAACTTGATAAAACATTTCTCAAGGATAATTTGGCAATACCTATCATTCATTGTTAAATTGCCTGAGAGATGTACCTAGCTTTTGACCCATTTTCAGAGTTTGCCCAAAGGTGGCAATTAATAATCACACTAAGATTTAGCTAATCAAAAAGATGCTTGTTCTGGCTTTCATCCTTTCAGTCAATAATTATTTATTCAGCTCCTCTTATGTGACAGGTACCTGTGACACCAGCATTCTCTATATTCTTTCCATATTTTTAACTATAGCAAATACACTGAAAACTGTGCACTATTGGAAATGGTGTTGGAGAGAATATTTAAGAATCTTGAAAATGTTCACAAGATGTTTTTCAATGAAAATACACATTACAAAACATAGACATGAGCTCATTTTGCAAAACAAAAGTTTAACTCAAGAGAAAAAAGACTACAATTATATCAGAATTTTACTAGTGGATATCTCTGAGTGGTAGAATTTATTATTTTTTCTGTACTTAAATTACAACAGCACTTTTGCAATGAGAAGCAATAAAAATTGTTTGGTAAAAAGGGAAAAGCTACCAGCCTGAAGAAACCCATTGAACATTACAGGAATAGTAGTAGGTGAGACTAACAGCAGGTATGATCCTCACTGTCCAAGAAACAACAGACGAAGTAAGGTCTTTTACAGAACAGAATTCCTTTAGTGTAAAAAGAGTTATACAGACAAAGAAAATTCATAAGAGTAGATACTTTATGCTATAATACCCTATCTTTTAAAAATCAAGAGCAAAAAAATCTTCTTTATCACTCTTTACATTCAAAGTCACACCTTTCAAAAGAATTTTCACCACTGCATACCCCAAAACTTGGTGGCTTAAAGCAACCACCATCTGCCCATAATTCTTTGGATCAGAAATTTGGGCAGGGATCAGCTGGGTGGTTCATCTGCTCAATGTGTAGCATTGGCTGGGATGCTTCATAAGGTTATGTTCAGCAGGAAGCTTGGCTGGGGTTGGAATGTCTGAGCTGGTTCCAGGCCTCTCCATATGAGCTTTGTCTCTAACCAATTAATTGGATTTTTCACTTCACAGCTGATGTCAAAGAGAAATAATTAAAAAGGGTAAAAGCAGAACCTGCATTTTCATTAAGCCCTGCCCTAGCAAGATTCACAGAGTCACTTCCACCAAATTCTATTGATTAAGATAGGTCATAGTCCAGCTCAGAATCAAGGAGAGGAGAAACAGTGACCATTCCCTCAGTGGGAGGAATGGCATAGATTTTGAGGCCATCTTACATCTACCACAGTAGTCTATACTAAAGGTCCAGTTTTTATCTCCCATTTATTCCTCAACTATACAAAATAGTACAAAGAGGAAAATGTCTATATTCCTGCTACCCATAATCAACACCAGTTAACATCATGGCATATGTGCATCCATTTTTTTTATAAAGAAAATCTATTCTCTTGTTTTTGAAGAAGTATGAATGTCATATGCTCATTTATAAATGATTTAAAATGCAAGAATAAAAAATATAATAGTTTTTAAAGTCACCTCAAATCCTATCACCCAAAAATAACCATCATAGAATTAAGGTAAATATTATTTTCGATATCCTACTATGTATGAGGGAAAAAGAAAAGAAACCTTAGTAGGCTTATGAAATGAATACTATAGATTTTTATTTGTTTGTTTTAGAAAAATCTTTTATTTTACTTTAATTCAACAAATGAAAGAAACTAAGGTAAAACAGAAGGAATTGTTCAGAACATGTTGACTCTGGATTTACATTTGCACCCTCATACTTTCTCCCATAATCCTTCCCTGTCACCTCCTACCTTGGATAGTAGTAGTATTTTTGCACTGTCTGGGTTTATGAATTCACAATTTTTAAACCACATCCTGTAGTTTAATTCTCATGCTATATTTAAATCTATGCAGTGCTTATACTAGGCCTTTGACCATAGTGCCTCCATTCCCAAGGTTTTTACTTTGATTTGTTTCTTGATTGGCTGGATGGTGCTGTCTTCCCTGAGTTTTTTCATGTATAAGAACGTCTACTGGCTAACCTTTATGATTGAATGGTGTGTTGCATGGGTGCAGTGTTCCTGTTCACATTTTCTCCCCATGTGTAAACACGGCTCATCAAGCATTTAAGATTGCTATAAGAAGGCTGGGCTAGACAGAGTGTTCCTCTGTGTAAGTAATTTGCTTCTTCTGAGGCATTCCTGAAGAAGTTTTTCTTTCTCATGTAAGTTTAGTAGATTAACCAGGATAAATTCAGTAAGCAAATGAGATCTGTGTACATGTTCAGTATTCAATAGCAAATACTTCTGAAGCATAATGGTTCTCCTTGTAAGTGAAACTGATTTGTAGCATCTCTGTGTGTTCTTTGACCTGAAGGAAGGGGAAGGCAGAGCTGGCGCCTAAGCCAGCATGCACCTGGCTGAACTGACTCTTCTCACTTTGAGATT